TGCTTACCTTGCTCCCGAAGACCAGGTCCCTCTCGGTAGGGTAACAAGGGAACGTGTTCAGTGCAGATCAGTGAGTAAGCACAAGCCCGCCTTGTTTCAGTACCTATAGCCTTTTACTATAGAGGTAGTCAAAATATGTTGTGCTCATGTTCATGTATTTAAATTAAGTTCGGAGTTGTTGTTGGTTTGGTTTTTTTCCTACAACCTATGCTTTTAAACTGAAGAATTATACAGATGGTAGTGAGGTTATGTAGTCCTTGGATGGTGGAAATGATTAATGTGCTCACCTGCTAAGTGAAAGGTTGGTAGTTCGATTCTACCCAGAGAGGTGCCTGAAAAGAAAGGCCTTGCAGTCTACTTCTGAGAAATCAGCCATTAGAACCCTATGGATCATTTTCTACTCTGATGCACAGAGCATTGGCATGAGTCAAATTTGACTCAATGGCAACTAGTTTAGTGAAATTATAAGTATAGCATCATTAAGCTATGAAAGGTCCTTTTTGGATAATAATATATGAAACATTTTCTCATACTTCAATTAAAATTTTATCTCTGTGTTTAACTTTTGATGTTTAGAATAGGTTTATAGCCTTTGTGAAACATTTCAGTCTGAAGATAGTAATTTATTAACAATGTAATAATTGATTTAGATGGGTAAAGGAATCACAAATTAAAAATTACACAGGAAGAAAAACTGCAGTAGAAATTAGAGGTAAGTCAGTTTTGCTTACTAAGAAGCAAAGCTTAAAGTCTTTACAGTCCTTTTCTGACCCATTAAGAACAAATAAGAATCACAGACAGCAAATAGAAATGAGATTGCAAAATTATTTTCCAGATTATTTTAACATTTCAAGGCCCAATATTGCCATCTGCTTTTCTCTATCCCTCCTTTTTCTTGTCCTTATCCTCCTCCAATAAATATTTCAACACCTATTGTCATGTTTTCTCTCTATCAGCTTTTTGAGGTGGAAATGGGATATTAAATATATAATTATATATAATTAGTTTGTCATACTGTGGTTGCTTGTGTGTTGCTGTGATGCTGGAAGCTATGCCAGTGGTATTTCAAATTCTAGGAGGGTTATCCCTAGTGGACAGGTTTCAGCAAACCTTCCAGACTAAGGCAAACTAGGAAAAGGGACCTGGCAATCTATTTCTGAAAAAATTGGCCAGTGAAAACCTTTTAAATATCAGCAGAACATTGTCTGATACAGTGCTAGGAGATGAGCCCCTCATATTGGAAGGCACTCAAAGTACTACTGAAAAAGAGCTGCCTCTTCAGGGTAGAGTCAACCTAATGATATGGATGGAGCAAAACATTTTGGATCAGATTGTATAATCCATCCAGTGAGGTCCACATGTATAGTCACCATTTATATTGTTGAAAAAGGTATTTCCAATGAATTGGTCATTGGTCTTGCAAAATTCTGTAATTCAATCTCCAGCATTGTTTCTATAACTAAGACCATATTTTCCAAAAACTGATCCTTCTGCTTTGTTTCCAACTTTCCCATTCCAATAACTGGTAATTATCGATGCATGATAATTGCCTATTCGACCAATGTCAGATTGCAGAAGTTGGTAAAAATCTTCAATTTCAAACCTTCAAAATGGCGGCACCCTCTGGACCGGCAAAAGTCCACTGCTCAGCCCACCTTTCTCTTCACCTTTTCTGTTTGTTCCCCAGTGACTGTGCACAGTCCTCTGTGTAGTCCCTGGCTAGCAGGGTGATTTTTGGGTTAATTCTTGGGTCCTGCCACCACTCGGGAATCTCCAAGCTGTCTGTGCCATCAGGATCGCTCAGGATTGCTGCCAGACCGAGCTCCAAAACGGCTCTCTATACATAGTAATGGATTACTGTGAAGGAGGAGATCTATTTAAATGAATAAATGCTCAGAAAGGCATTTTGTTTCAAGAGGATCAAATTTTGGACTGGTTTTGTTCAGCTATGTTTGGCCCTGAAACATGTACATGGTAGAAAAATTCTTCATTGAGACATAAAATCACAGAACATACTTTTAACCAAAGATGGGACTGTACAACTTGGTGATTTTGGAATTGCTAGAGTTCTTAATAGTACTGTAGAGCTGGCTTGTACTTGCATAGGGACCCCATACTACTTGTCACCTGAAATATGTGAAAATAAACCTTACAATAATAAAAGTGACATTTGGGCTCTGGGGTGTGTCCTTTATGAGATGTGCACACTTAAACATGCATTTGAAGCTGGCAATATGAAAAACCTGGTACTGAAGATAATATCTGGATCTTTTCCACCCGTCTCTTTGCATTATTCCTATGATCTCCACAGTTTGCTCTCTCAGTTACTTAAAAGAAATGCTACGGATAAACCATCAGTCAACTCCATATTGGAGAAAAGTTTTATAGCCAAGTGCATTGAAAGGTTTCTCTCACCTCAGCTTATTGCAGAAGAATTTTGTCTAAAAACATTTCGAAAGCTTGGAGCACAGCCTGTACCAGCCAAAAGACCAGCTTCTGGACAAAGCTTGGCTTCTCTTGCACCTGCTCAGAAAATTACAAAGCCTGCTGCTAAATATGGAGTACCTTTAAAGTAAGAAATACGGAGATGTACCTAAAAAAATTACATGAAAAGAAACCACTCCAGAAACAAAAACAGGGCCATCAAACTACAGTGAAGAAAATGAATCCTGGAGAAGAAAGGACGAAAATGTTTGAGGAAGCAGGAAGAAAGGGAAGGTTGGAATTTATTGAAAAAGAAAAGAAGCAAAAGTATCAGGTTAGTTTAATGAAGGCTAAACAGATGAAAAAGCAAGAAAAGGAACGGTTGGAGAGAATAAATAGGGCTAGGGAACAAGGATGGAGAAATGTGCTAAGTGCAGGTGGAGGTGGTGAAGTAAAGGCTCCCTTTTTTGTCAGGGGAGGGCAGTTGCTCTGTCTTTTTCTCCTCAAGGACAGTATGAACCATTACCATGCTATTTTTGATCAAATGCAGCAGCAAAGAGCTGGAGATAATGAATATAAACGGAAAGGAGAAATGCATGGCCGAGGGCTTCAAGAAAGGCAAAAAGGACAACTGTCTGTGGAAAGAGCCAAACAAGTAGAAGAGTTGCTACAGCGAAAACGGGAAACTATGCTGAATAAATCTCGAGCCGAAGGACATATGGTTTATTTGGCAAGGCTGAGACAAATAAGACTACAGAATTTCAATGAGCACCAACAGATTAGAGCCTAACTTTGTGGTGAAAAGAAAGAAGCTGATAGTTTGTAAGGACAAGAAGGGAGTAAAGAGGCTGACATGAGGCGCAAAAAGATTGAAACATTTAAGTCCCAAGCAAATGCACTTGCCGCTGTCCTGAAAGAACAACTAGTGTGAAAGAGAAAGGAAGCATATGAGAGAGAAAAGAAAGTGTGAGAAGAACGTTTGGTGGCTAAAGGAGTAAAGAACTCTGATCTGTTTCCACTCTTGGGAGGACAGCATGAAACAGGTGACTATCCATCAAAGCAACAGATGAGAGCTGCAATTTCTATGACTTCAGCTTTGAAAGAAGTGGGTATGGACTATTTAACTGATGATTCTCAGGAAACCTCAGAAGAACTGCAAAAGACCAACAGTGCTATTTCAAGTAAATGAGAAATACTGCGTAGATTAAATCAAAATCTTAAAGCTCAAGAGGATAAATAAGGAAAGCAGCATTACAGTGACACGTGTGAAATAATTGCTCATGAAGATGTCAAAGAGCATGAAGAGGAAAAACCGGTTTCATCTGATCGTAAGAAGTGGGAAGCAGGAGGTCAAATTGTGATTCCTTTGGATGAGTTAACATTGGAAGCATCGTTCTGTGCAACTGAAAAACACACAGTGGGAGAGGTTATTAAATTAGATCCTGGTGGATCTCCAAGAAGAGTCTGGGGTAAAAGCCCTACAGATTCTGTTTTAAAGATACTTGGAGAAGCTGAACTACAACTTCAGACAGAACTATTGGAAAATATAGCTGTTAGAATGAGATTTCTCCTTAAGGGGAAGTGTACAAACCATTAATCACTGGAGAAGAAAAAGTACAGTATGTTTCACTTCAAATGAACCCCTCAGCTACTGTTGGTTCTCCTCCTCTTGAAATAAAAAAGTGAAAACTTTAAGGAGGCATCTCCACAGATATTGTTGAAACCAGAAGGAAATGTGGATGAACCTGATGATTTGGAAACAGAAGTACTACAGGAGTTAAGTGGGATAAACAAAGATGGTAGCTTGCCAGGTGGTATTACTGATGTGTGGGTTGAGAAAAAGGAAACAAAGGAAGCAAAATGTTGAGAACATGTTCACTTCCAGATCTCTCAAAGCTGTTCAGAACACTGATGGATATTCCCATTGTAGGAGATGTGCAACAAGACAATCTTGAAATCAATGAAATTGAAGATGAACACATTAAAGAAGGACCTTCTGATTCTGAAGACATAGTTTGAAGAAACTGACACAGATTTACAAGAGCTTCAGGCCTCTATGGAGCAGTTGCTTAGGAAACAACCTGGTGAAGAATACAGTGAGGAGGAAGAATCAGTCTTAAAGACCAGTGATGTAGAGCATACTGTAAATGGGATCGATCTGGCAGACGAGAATGACAGTCCCAGCAGTGAAAGTGCCCTGAATGAAGAATGGCACTCTGATAATAGTGATGGTGAGATTACTAGTGAATGTGAATGTGAGAGTGTCTTTAATCATTTAGAGGAACTGAGACTTCACCTGGAGCAGGAAATAGGCTTTGAAAAATTCTTTGAGGTTTATGAGAAAGTAAAGGCTATTCATGAAGATGAAGATGAAAATATTGAAACTTGTTCAACAGTCGTTCAGAATATTTTGGGAAATGAACATCAGCATCTTTATGCCAAGATTCTTCATTTAGTCATGGCAGATGGAGCCTATCAAGAAGATAATGATGAATAATCCTGACTCAGAGAACATTTCTTAACCATCACCTGTATGAAAGCATTTGGATTCAGCTTACCACAATAACAAGCTTCATTGGGAAATGTAGTAATTATTTATATCTAAGTAATATCACATTTAATATGGGCATGCTGATTGCATGAAAAAGATGCAAAGACATGACATTTTCAGTTAAAGGTCTAGTATTTTATCTTTTAAAAAAAATCTTCAATTTCTTTTTCAATAGTAGTTGGTTGGTATATAAATTTGAATAATAGTCATATTAACTGGTTACTTTATAGACATACGGATATTATCCTATCACTGGCAGTATTGTACTTGAGGATAAATTATAAAATGTTCTTTTTGATGATGAATGCAATGCCAATATAAATCCTTTTCAACTCACTAATGCCTAGGATATCAATCTTTAAATGTTATATTTCATTTTGATGGCATACATTGTTGTTGTTGTTATGTGCCGTCAAGTCGGACCCGACTCAAAGTGACCCCTCCTTGGGTTTCCGAGGCAGTATCACTACGGAAGTAGATTGCCCAGCCTTCCTTCCAAGAAGTGGCTGGTGGGTTTGAACCACCAGCCTTCTGGTTAGAAGTTAAGTGCCTTAGGCACTACACTACCAGAGCTCCCACTGAGTACATTACACATTCCAATTATTAATGAATGTTTGCAGCTGTTTCTTCTCATGTTGAGAATGCTACATCAGCAAATGAAGGTGCAGAAAGCTTTGGTCTGGTCCATCTGGTAAATTAGGTCGACTCTACTTGGGAGGCAGCTCTTTCCTAGTTGTATTTTGTGTGCTTTCCAACCTCATCTTTTGGCACTATATTAACCACTGTCTCACTGCTATTCATAAGGTTTTTACTGACCAGTTTTTAAAGAAGTAGATTGCCAGGTCCTTCTACCTAATCTGCTTTAGTCTCAAAGCTTCACTGAAACCTTTCCACCATGGGTGACCCTGTTCGTATTTGAAATACTAGTGGCATAGCTTCCAACTTCACAGCAACACACAAGCCACCACAGTACAACATACTGACAGACAAATGGTAGGGAAAAATGTTTACCTATGTTTCATTGACTATGTAAAGGCATTCAACTGTTATAAGTCATAACAAATATTGCAAAGAATGGGAATTGCAGAACATTTCATTGTGCTCGTATAAAACCTGTACATAGACCAAGAGGCAGTTATTTGAACAGAATGAGAGGATACTGTGTAGTTTAAAATCAGGAAAGATGTGTGTCAGGGTTGTATCCTTTTACCATACTTAAACAACCTATATCCTGAGCAAATAATTTGAGAAGCTGGACTATATAAAGAAGAATGCAGCATCAGAATTGGAGGAAGACTACTAACAACCTGCAATATGAAGATGACACAACCTTGCTTGCTGAAAATGAAGAAAAGCACTTACTGAGAAGATTAAAAACTATAGCCTTCAGTTGAGTACCCTTCAACATAAACCAAACCAAAAACCAAAGTGACTGCCAAGAAGCAGATTTGACTCATAGCGACCCCTCCTTGGGTTGCCGAGGCAATATCTCTGCGGAAGTAGATTACCTAGTCTTCCTTCCGAGAAGTGGCTGGTGGGTTTGAACTGCCGTAAAAATACCCACTACTGGGAAGCAGCATCATGATAAATGGAGAAAAGATTGATATTGTCAAAGATTATGTTTTACTTGGATCCATATTCAATATTTATGGGAAGCAGCAGTTAAGAAATGAAAAGATGGATTGCACTAGGCAAATCTGATGCATAAGACCTCTTTAAAATGTTTAAGAGCAAAGATGTCACCTTGAGGACTAAGGAGTGCCTTGATTTTCAGTGACCTCATATGCATGCAAAAGCTGGGCAATGAATAGGGAAGACCAAAGAGGATTTGATGCATTTGAATTTATCATGTTGGCAAAGAGCAGTGTATGTACTGCCAGAAGAACAAACAAATCTGTATTGGAGGTAGTAGTATACCTGCAGAATGCTCCTTAGAAGTGAGGATGGGAAGACTTGGTCTCATGGACTTTGGACATACTGTCAGGAGTATCCATTCCTTGCAAAAGGACATCATGTTCTGTAAAGTAGAGGGTCAACAAAAAGGAGAAAAACCCTCAAAGAGATGAAATGACATAATGGCTACAACAGTGGGCTAAAGAGTAGCAGTGAGTGTGAGGATGGTGCAGGACCTGGCAGCGTTTTCGTTCTGTGTACGTAAGGTTGCTGTGAGTCAGAATTGACTCAAAGGCCTAACAACAACAACTACATATATCTATATATATATTTCCTTTAGTTATAAAACAGTTTACTTTTCCATTGTTGGGTTTGAACCCCACATTCTCTTGAAGATCTTACCTGATTAAGATTGTAAGGCAAGCGTGCTGTGCTTTTGGGAATAGAGTAATGAGAAAAAAAGGAAGAAAGAATTCTCAAAAAATGATATAACCATTTGCCTATTTATTTAAAGTTTTTTATCCTATTTTTGTTGCTGTGTTTTTTAAAGGAAAACAGAATTTCTACTGCCTGCATTATGGATATTTATAAAATATTTATTAATTCAGTTATTCTTTATCAGTGCTGTCCAATAGAATTTTCTGCAGTGATGAAAATGCTTTCTGTTCATTGTCCAGTAGCTATACCTGGCTATTGAGCACTTTAAATGTAGCTAGTATAACTGAGAAACTTAGTTTTTTAGTCTTATTTAGCTTTAAGTAATTTAAATAACCACACGTGGCTAGTGACTACTGATTTGGATAGCACAGTTCTAAGTCACCTTGATCAAATATGGGTTGTGAATTATTGTCATCAAATTACTTTGTGTTTCAAGCCAAATGAAATTTTCAGATAATTTATGTTTTATTTGGAAGGTCTGTTTAAGGAGGTAGTAAGAAAAATTAAAGATCTTCTTTCCCAATATATAGCCTATTTCTAGAGGCAAAACCAGCTTTTAAAAATATTTTAACCTTTTCCCAGTCTCCTATTTATATGCAGAATCTTGGCATTTAAAATTTCATTTCTATAAATGGTGATATTACTAACATTAATCTGTCACTTAGAATTGATTTTCCATGAGGAATGTAGTATTGATTAATCTTAATACCCCAGAGAGAATATTTTTGGGCTTTAGTATTTGGTTATTTGCTGAGAATTTACATAGAGATATGCAAAAGAGTAAAATGTATTGGTGTTGATCTTAATGGTTGTAACAGTAGCATAGTTTGGTTTAAAAATTAAAATAAATGAAACAGATTTACTTTACATTGACAAGGATATAAGCATTTAGCATTACTATTAGAACAAACATTATGGCTTCTAATGTGGTACACAGTAGGAAGGACCAATACCTGTACAGTATTGTTGCCGAAATTCTTACCAGAGCATAATAATGAGGAATCATTCAGACAGATTTAGATGTATGGAACATTTCTGCAAAACAACTGTCCTGAATGCTTAAAGAAGAACAATATTTGAAATTTATTTATATTAAAGGAGATTAAAGAGACATGGACAATAAATATAATGAGGGGTTCTTGAGTGAAACTGTTTAAAAAAACAAGTTATTCAGAACATTTTTTAAACAATTAGGAAGTATCTTAATTACCTAGAGCAGCTATAACACAAAATGCCACAAAAGAGTGGCTTTAAAGAACAGACATTTTTTCACAGTTTAAGAGGCTAAAGTGTCTTGGCCATGTCTGTGCCTTCCATGTCAATAATTCCAGGTGTTCTTTGGTACCTTGGCATCCTTTGGCTTCTGGATGATCCTCACATGGTGTCGGCCTTCCCTGTGTCTGTGTGTTTGTGTCTACTCTTGTCTTTTTTAGAACTTGAAAGTGATTAGATTTAGAATCCCCTTCACTGGTATGACCTCATTAACATAGCAAATGAAAATTTTTTTTCCAAAGAGAATCACTTCCACAGGTCCAGATGTTGAGGACATACTTCAGCCATACAGGGGTAGTTAAATATAGAATGTATATTAAATTGCATCATTAGTAATTTTCTTGAATATGATAAAATGGTATGGGTATAGATCATTCTTTCTGTTTTATAGAAAGTAGATGCTGGAGTTTTTCAAGGGTAAAGTGTCTTTTTGTCTGAAACTTATACATGGTTGAGGGAAAAATAAAGAATGTGTATATGTGTTTATAGAAAGGATCAGATGAAGCAAATGCAGTGAAATATTTACAGTTGGTGAGTAGAGATTGAAGGTAGAAAGGTGCTCATTGTATTGTTCTTCTGACTTTCCTGTAAATTTGAATTTTTTTCAAAATAAAGAGTGTAAAAGAAAAGAAGTAGAAGTGGGTTTGTAACCTAAATTTCTAAATTATTAAGAATATTTTTAAAAGTTACAGTGATAAGGTGATTTTTTTCATACTTCAGGAATATAATGACCTGCCTCCTTTTCTTTATAAAGGAAATAAAGTTATTGGGGACCTGTTTTTATTATAATGTTTCTTAGGTGTATGTGCAAATGTCAAACTCTACACCATCTTCTCGTGCTTCTACCTATGAAGCCAAAACAAATTCTAGTTAAATACAATCAACATTAAAACTAATAAAATTCAAAGTATTAACAATAATATGATAGATAGTATATATTTTGCTAAAATAAATCACTCGTATAGTGAATTTGTTCTGAATACTACAGTATACTTTAAGGTTACCATGTCTGTTGGGCCATATACCATGTGATATCACTGCACACTTCTCTCAACTCTAGCTAGTATAAAACTTTTGTATAATACACAATGACATAATTTAACTTTTACTTGTTGTTATTTGCTGTCCAGTTGGACCCGACTCATAGCAACCCCTCCTTGAGTTTCTGAGGCGGTATCACTACAGAAGTAGCTTGCCACATCTTCCTTCCAAGGAGTGGCTGGTGGGTTTGAACCACCAGCCTTCTGGTTAGCAGTCAAGTGCCTTAGGCACTATGCTACCAGTGCTCCTAACTTTTACTTACATGTCTATATTTTTTACATATTACATCTACTTTTTTTTTA